CACTTTTTGAAATGTTGTGTCTTGGGCCAATCGGCCAGATCGGTCCCAAATTCTATCGACTGTGCACAGCTCAATCATTCAAGTCTGTGTGGTGCTACTACCAGCAAGTATCCTACCTCCAGAACTCCTCAGTCTGGGGCTTCAGATACTCCCAAATCCATGGCAGGCATCCTATGTGCCAAGCCCAGAGGCCTTGGAGTTCTGATGACCCCTATTCTTGCTTGCCCCTAGCCCAAAGGCTGAAGGAGAAAGCTAGAGGGAAAGTCTGAGAGCAATCACGGGTTGTAATCTTGTTTCTGCAGAGGGGTAGAAAGGTATGTGTACACAAGGGAAAGGGGAGTTATGTGCTTCTAACAGTGGTGGCTACTTCACAATTAGTCTTGGTACCAAATAGCTATTATTCGGAGGGAGAGAGTAAATGCAGACATACATCATGCATATTGTTTCATTCTCCCATGTGTCTCCTCGTAATGCTGTCATCTTTTGGCATGATTTATGAACTTAAACTCTACCCCATCTTAACAGTTACCAGCACTTATATATTTATAAATTCTCTTTATGAATTAGAGCTAGGAGAGAGCTGCATTCTTAGAAGTTCAGTGCAACTCTTCCATGTTTCCAGCTCCAGTCCTTTGTTCAGCCCATTTCAGAAACAGAGTTAAGGTTTCTTACTACTACTGTGTTGTGACAGTCAGCAGATCTTTTGCACATGTGGTTTCTGAACAGTCGCTGTGTGGTTAGTTTGGCAATATACCTTCCCCTGTGAGGTAAACATCTTGCAACCTTCCTCTTTTCATTCTATAATTTCTTTGCTAGAAATACAAATGTATTTTGCAAAATGTACAGCAAAAATCCCATTTGCAAAGTACTAGGAAAGAAGTTTTATGATTTCAAATAATTGTAGTTGCTGGAGACAGGCTTGGAAATTAAATCCTTCTGCTTCTTCCCAGGGGTCTTAAAACATGTTCAACAGAAATTGAGTTAATTCGGCATATGGAGGCTTGGGGAGGAAGATATGTTTAACTTATCTGAGCCAGCAAATTACATGCCTGGCCCTGCACATTAAATCAATCAAGATATCTTGCCTACTACAATATATGTACAGAGCATGCTTGATCTGATTCATTATATATACTAGTGATTTTTCAACTAGGATGCCACAGCAACTTGGGGTGCCTAAAGATCTTTTCAAGGATATTGCAGGGTGCCATGCAATGTTAGCGATATTTGGTTTACAAATATGATTCACACAATAAATCCAGGGATTTCACATAGAAATTCATAGTTGTGGTTTTTCTGCGTTCTTTGCAACAGAAAACTGCTCTATTATTTTTCTGTAGTAAAAAAAAAAAGAAGTGAAAACTAAAAGCTGGCATCTTCCAAGGGGTGCCTCGAGTCTAAAAAGATTGAAAATCTCTGATATATGAGTACTGACTGATCCAGAGCACAGTCATAGACTTCCACAGTTCCAGTGGAACTGCTTGGTAACTGCATAGAACACTTTTCCAGAACACTGCATCTCTAGAGCCAGACCTGTCAGCAAGTAAATGTAAATCAAAATTAATCTTGCCCGAGTGTAACTTTTTTTTCTCTGAGTTGGCACTTCATTTTGGATGAAGGTGGAAGGGTATTTCTATTTTCTCTGCAAAGCAATACTCCAATAGAATAAGAAGTAAGCCTATAATGTCTCCTGACAGTTCATAGTATGGAAGATTAGATTATATTCACTATATTAGGCAGGAAATCTTGTATATATGATATGACTGCATTTCAAAATGTACAGCATGCACTTTGCGAGACCTGGATATGGACATGGGTGGGAGGAGATTGCTTTTTGGCAATCATCCCGGTGCAGGTGTCTTAGAAGCCAAGTAATTGGACAGGAAATGTTATAAAATTCTGGATGCTCATCTGAAGGGAAGTTTTCCTGGAGAATTCCACAATCATGGATGGTGACTATCTGGAGAAAAGGGTGCTTTTGGGTGCCAGCTAATGGAAGAGGTAATGACTTGGAGTGCAAATAAAGACAAGTGCAAATTCATTGTTTCAAATGGGGCATATATACTGTGTCCAGCACGTACAAGGTGACTGGAATTGGTTGGAGGGATTGAATAGAAATTTTATGATCTTTTGAAACAGGGCCTCAGGGAAACAATTTGATCATACCCACTTTCTTAGGTATGCCTCCTCCATCCTGGGAATTATTTTCTGGTCCAAACCAAGAAAAGCCTCTGTACAGTAGTACAACAATCAGAAATCTAACCGGCTTTCATCATAGGGTGCTATCAATCAGCCAAGCAAAGAAAATAACCATTTAAAATTTAAATAGTTTCTTTTAGCTCACACATAGAAACATTTAGTTTTAGAGACCAGTTAAGAATAGAGGAGACATTTTTCCAGGAGGGAAGAGAGCACAATTACAGCAATTATGGTTTCTAGTTGAGTTCTGATACTTCCCCACTGAAGTCAATGAAGAGATTTTGTTTCATTTAATGGGAAGAGAATCAAGTTCTCAGATTCCTAAATAAAAATTACCTAAGAAAAATAATGACATAACCTGATTCCTAGGAAGTGCAGATCAGCACATGAAAATATAAGATTGGTAGAAGACTTTGAGGGATGCTGTTAGTAGCATTATCCAGTCCCTAAAGCACTACCTTTTGTCATCCTTTAATTTCTTACTGTTTGATAATAGTAACAACACACCTCTGCTGACTACATGGCTACCATTGTGAATAACTTTGTCTATCTTCTCCAGTTCTCTAAAATCTGCTACTTTCCAACTCTGCAAAAACTTTGTTTTAATCTTGATTAACTACTTCTCTCTCTCTAATCTCTATTTGCTCAGTCAAGATGGAGGCAGTCTATTTGAGAAGAAGCCGTCCTGCATCTGTAACCTTTCTCCTTCTTGAAACATCACTGCCATTGGTTATGCAGATGTGCCTGGTTCTTTCTTGTCATGATTCCACTCCAACCTCCTTGGCAATTCTTTATCTCTGGAAGTAACCATTTTTCCACATCAAGATATGTCCTGTATGGAGCACTTCCCCTCTTCTCTCCCTTCCTCCCCCCCCAATTTTATTTCTCAGCACTCTTAGAATTACTATCTACATTCTTTTCATTCATCTCTATCTTTTACAATACCAGTAATATACCCCTGATACTAAGCGGTGCATATCTGTCACTGCCTTTCAGGACTTCTCTCGCACCACCCTTCATGTCTTGACCGTGTAAACTTGCAGCTTGGTTTACAAATTCCTCCAAAGCAATCTTTCTGAGATGGAAGTTGGGCAAGAGATGCTTGCTCAAATGTATCTTCTTCATCTCTCTTAATTCCTTTTTCAGTTGAAGACTTTCTTCTTTGTCTCTTCTGTTGGTACCTTTGACATTGCCTCCAGCTCTGGACTCTTTTCGTTGTCTGTTCCTACAAATCTGCCGACTTAACATTTGAGTTTCTTACTAAGTGAAAGGGACCTCTTTATTTTTGCATCTGTTATGTCACGTCACACGTGCCAGACACTTACACATTATACTAACCCGAAAAATTAAATCTTAAGTACCTAGGCTTCTGTAGTACCCTCTTCAGGAATGCTTCACCATCCTTTCTTGGTTCTCATCTTAGTTACCATATCACGTTTCCTCCCCTCTCTCCCATATCCCAGCCTTCCAAGCACAGGCAAGTCAAGATGGTTGTTGCTTGTGTTTTGTGCACGGACACAGGAGATGCTGACTGCTTCGTTTCACTTTCATCCATCTACATGCCTGGTGTCTTGTGTTTGCTGCCTTTGCCGTTTTCAAACATTGTTGCTTCGGAAAAGAAAGTTGCAAAGCCAAGAAAACATGCCCTTTCCTGCTCGTTCATTGTGCAGAAAGATGGCTCTTGTGAGACATATCAGGTGCTGCTTTCCCTCCCTTTTTTTGGATGCATGATTTGGCAAGCTCCACACAGGACTGGGAATGGACCCCAGTGCTGCAAAATGCATGGGAGGCTGCAAACGTGGACAAATTGGAGAGAGGCCAATGGAGGGCAACAAAAATGGTGAGTGGCTTGGGGGACATGAGTTATGAGGCAAGACTGAGGGAACTGGATTTATTTAAGTCTAGAGAAGAGAAGACTGAGAGAGGACTTAATAACAGCCTTCAACTACCTGAAGCGGGGTTCAATGTTTTCAGTGGTGGCAGGTGACAGACCAAGGAGCAATGGTCTCAAGTTGCAGCAAAGGAAATTTAGGTTAGAAATTGGGAAGAATTTTATCACTAGGAGGGAAGTAAAACCCCCGTTAACCAGAGAGGTGGTAGATTCTCTCCATCCTTGGAGGTTTTCAAGACCCAGCTAGACAAAGCCTTGGCTGGGATGATCTAGTTGGGGCTGGTCCTGCTTGGAGCAGGGGGTTGGACTAGATGCCCCCAGAGGTCCCTGCTAACCCTCATTGTCTATGACCATGAAACCTCCCAGCTGAGATGGACAGAGCTGGTGAATTAGATGCTGCCTAACCAAGGCTTGTGGACAGAGGTGATATCTTTTATTAGACCAACAAGATTTTTGCAAAAAAAAATCTTTAATTGCAAGCTTTCGGGCACAAACACCCTTCATCAAGCATGGGAGGAAAGAGTTGGAGAAAAGATCCTAAAAGTTCTCCTGGGTAGAAATGAAAGTTCGTATTTCATAGGGCTCGGGGTGCTTGCAAGGCACTGGGCGTGGGGCTGCCCAAGGCGAAGCGCTAGGGCAGGAGCCTGCACCCTGGCCTGCCCCTGGGGCTGAAGGAGGAGCCCCCGCGCAGCGCAGGGCACTGTGCCAGACTAGGGCCCGCGCGGGGCATTGTGGGGCAGGGCGCACTTGCTACCTCTTCCCCCAGCGCGAAGAAGCGGCTTCCCCCC